TTGGCTTTCTGAGAAGTGCTGCTTCTCTCGCAGTAACTCACAGTTGATGCAGTGATGTAATATTTCATGAAATTAATATCTGTGTTACATTATAAAATTTGAATGCTGCTGCAGCTACACTCTTCTTGATGTAGAGCAGACACTGTTTGACTAACAGTCAAGACACAGTTGTTATTCTCAGCTTCAGTGTTCTTGAACTGTAACCTATACATGAGAGCTTGCTTTCTGAGTTAATCATCCCTTAAATTAGCAGTCCAGAGACTTGAAAATGTTTCTTGAATTCAGCTTTTTTGTTACTGCCCACATCAGTTCTAGCTGTAAAGGGAAATTTACATTCAAATTTGTGTTGTTCTAAGCAGAATTCAGCTGGGACCCTCACATATGCAATTATGGTATTATTTTTATACTTTAGCCAGTTCTTCAATATTTTGTCTTCCCAAATAATAGATTACACACAATGTTGCCAGAATCCTGTCATATACAAGGAACTTTGATTCAGTTACAGAATTTTTGTCAAGCTTGCACTCAGTCAAAGAATGCATTGACTGTGCAGCCTTAGCCTTCATAAGCAAAGAGCATTAAAACTAAGCTCCTGTTTGCAATCACAGCTTGTCCTGCATTTAGAGACATCTGGCAACTACCTGATAAAGTCTAGATGAATTTTTAATTTGCAAAACAGATAGGAGAACTATTCTGAACAGATTAACTAACTTTAAATTCAACTCAGCTGAACTGTTTCATCTCTCCATTATGAAACACACATTTCCTCCCTTTCTATTCAAATCATCATTCACATTAACCTCAGTCTTTGGATTCTTTCTTTAAATACAACAAAATAATCCACTTGTTTTCTAGTGTTGCAGTTCACTTTCAGTGAACTTTTCAGTAGGACTATAAGTAACATGTTCTCAAATCTAACAAAACTACAACTTTCATTGCAATGAGTTTGACAAAACAAAACCTTTCACTTTTTAAGAGTGAAACTGACACAGATACAGAAAGAAATTATACCAAAATAAAAGCACACTGCCCATTCAAATAAAAACCTACATGCCACTACAATAGGTTACACATACACAGTAGCATTTTAAGCTTGTTCTTTTGCAACATTTAGTATAAATTAATAACTGCAAGAGTTTTACAGTCAGTGCAAATAGCCATAAAATCAATCAGTTTGTTAAATAAAAGCAATAGAAGTAGCAAAGATTGACTGTTATGACAGATATCAGCTTTGAACACTGTAATTTGTTTCTGTGGATAAGTTCGTGTCCTAGTAAAGATGTGTCTAGATCATGTCACCAAGAATAATTGCTTACCTCATCACCAATCAAAATTGCCCAGTGTTCTATTAGAGGAAATAGAACACAACCACTTTATAATCTTAAAGAAACTTGAGCAAACAATTGTCAAATGTTTGGCTGGACTAGTTATTTACCAAGTAAACTGCAACACTAATTTAATACAAACTAAAGTTTGTATTTTAAACTTTTCTGCCTGGAACTATCTCCAGCAACTTATTTAATGCAACTTATTTAATGCAACCTAAATTAAAACTAGAATAGGAATACCACCAAAATTACATTTGTCTTGGCTAGCTATAATCAAAAGCTCATTTGCAATCACCTGCAAGCAGTATCTGTTGCCAAATAGAGAAGGCAATATTATGTTTCATTTGACACAATAAATTTTCTGAAGTACAGAATTTGAAACGTTTGCAGAACAAAGAACTTCTTGTAACCATGACTGATTATAATTACGAGTAGTCCGGCACTGCTGAGGTACCTTGGAATGCTCATTGTTTAATCTGGAAACAATCTACTAAAACATGGTGTATTACCTGAGAATATGCACAAAATAAAGAGTCTCATTGTCTTAATCACTAGAATGTCATGCTTGGAAATAAGCAGAAGTATTGTGATCAAACAATTTTGTGCTAAAACAGTTTGAAGCAAAATAAATAAATAAGCAAATGAAGTAAAAATGCAAAAATAACAAAACAACTCCCCCCTAAAACAAACAAAAAACCCAAAAAGCCAAACAAAAACCCAACTGCCCCAAAACAGCAAATAAAACAAAACCAAAACAAAGAAATCCCACAACCCTCCCCTCAAAAAACTGCACACCAAACCAAACAAACAAAACCAAAACAAAAAAACAAAACCCCAACCAACCAAAGGAAAAAAAACCCAAACAAAAAAAAAACCTCACCCAAGAGTAAATCCAGTAAACCAAACCAAAACAATGAAACAAGTAACTTTCTCTCAGAAAATACATGGACTGGCTATGTTTTGTGAATATTTAACTATGAAAGATGACTTAAACAGCTACAAGACTGCCATCGCGTGCTTTTATTGGACTTTTCTTTTTTTCAAAAAAGCTTCAAATACCATCTAAGATGCAGAAAATATAGCGTCACTTTGTCAAAATACTAACAAACATTCAAGAATTCAAGATTGGCTTAATTTTCCAAGGTTATGTAATATGACTGTAACTAGCTACAGCAGTCTTCATTATCATCACCCATACTCTCTCAAAAACACAAACAAATCTCATGTGTATTTCTCCCAAAACTTTACATCCAGAAACTTTTACACCAAACTCTCAAAATCAGATTTTTTTTCTGTGCTGAAAAATGTAGATAAATATAGCAGTTCCATTTAATGCCACTATCAGAAGCTGAAGATCTGCAGAACAATTTAGTAACTTCACTAGGAAATCACATCAATAAGTTTGTCCCAATAGTCCTTTGCAGAGTTGAATTTGTGAAGGTAGGCATGCTCTGCTCTTCCTTGTAACCTTGTAACACTACGTGCAAGAAGGTCTTCCTGTTGCTAGATCAATTTCCTTGCAGTAAGAAATTTGCTGTACTGATGTATTCCAAAAAGCAAGAATCAGGGGCTCTGCACAGCATGCACATTCCAGAATAATCATTACTATATAATTAGTAATTTATTTCTTCTTCATGTAAATGCCAGTCTGCGATATCAAATGATCAAATGATATCTAGATCACATCAAATCTGAATGGCAAATAATTCCCCCTTGGGGTGAGATTTTCTACTGAAGCAGTCCCCAAGGACTCTGATTGAGCAGGTGACTGTTCATCCGTGAATTATGTCCTGGCTGGTGACACAGTTGTGACATCTTACTCTTAACAATAATAAAACCACCAGCTCCATACTAGAAGAATATGGTATGTGCTAGGTGGAGAAGTTACCTGCTTATCTGGTGCCAAGGCAGAGCTGTGACAGGTTTCAAAGCAGCGCCAGTATTCCAGAGATACGGACCTAATCAAACAGACCTAGCCAAGTACAGCACTTCCTTTACTAAGTAATGACTGAGATCAAAGACATCTGTCCTTTTTCAGATTGTTGTCATGACATCTGTTTTGACCTCTTATAATACACAGATTAAGTTTACTAAGAGGCCTGATTCTCTCTAGACAGGCACGGCTGGGTGGGAACTGCTGGTCAAGTAAAGAGAAAGAAGCAAAGGCACAGGCAGACTGGCAAGATGACCTTCTGCTTGCTGGCACTGCTCTTCCTATTGCACCCAGGATACCATGGGCCCTCTTGGCCACAAGGACTACCAGCTCAAAGATCAGTTTGTCATCTTACTCAGGCTTGGTAGCACTCAATTTAATATCATGGCTTTTTGTTATTTTACCTTTTTAGAGTTAAAAATTGACAGTAAGCTAAACAAATCCTTATTTCATAGAATGCAGTGTCCCAGTGTTAGCATTTAATAGAGGTGTTAATTCCAAACAAACAACTGTTACTTAGATGTACACAGAGAGAAAAAATGGAAACATTACCCTACTCTTTCAACATACTCCCCACCCTTCTTGATTGTTGAAAGTACGAATGAAAGAGTTTACTCCTAGCTTTTTTCAAAAGAAAGATCTGTTCTTCATCACTGCCTTGATTTTCTTCAATTTACTTGTCAGGATTTTTCTAGGAGCTACAGCTTTCGGCTAGCTCTGTTTCAGTCTTAACCAGGTTCTCTTAAAAACTGGCAATCCATTTTTGGCTGAGAGAAAATGGATTATGTCTCCCTACAGCTTTTCTTCTGCTGTACTGATTCAATCAACCCTGAGGAAAAAGCTCTACACTGAACCTTTGGGCTCTGAGCATATCCAGGGCCTAAGCAGAAAGGCTTCAGAGAATGCAGAAAATACTGTGGAGCTGCAGGGGGATATCAGGGAACATCTATGTGTATCTCCTCAGGGTCCAAACATTAGTAGGATAGATTCTGAACCTGCTGGCTGACAATTTTCGGTAATGACTACTCAGAAATCTGATTTCTATAAGCTTTTTTTGCAAGTTCATACGTAATCATACAACATATTTTATGCCAGTGAGCTTTCTAATTTCATGGAAAGCTTTTTGTGAGGTACTTTCATTTAAATCTATTCTGGTATTTTACTTAGATGAGGTTTGATTTTGATATGAAAAAGAATGAATATTGCATCTTCTTCAGAGCACTTGTTTATAGACTATCCTATCTCCTCAGTGCTTTGGTTTGGGAGGCAAGTAGTATGGGCTAGTATTTTTCTTCTTTTTAAACACAAGAGGCTACTGCATGTTTAACATTTTTTCTTCTACTTACCAGTGTCATGACAGAAGCAGTCATCCAGCATCAATGAAGTACTTGAGCAGTATTAATAATAAGGTGAAAGGATAGCAGAATACAAAGCATTTAAACACAAATGAAGAGAAAAAACCTAAAGAGATAATGCTATAAATCTAATCCAAAATATGTAATTATTTGAATTCTTAGTAAAAATACTGTAAGGTGAATGTGCATAGATTAGTAAGACACTAGAGCTCATAAGTGAATAAGAGGTTAAACCACAACAGGAGGGTAGTTACACAAGCAATATGAACCAAAAAGAAGTCAATGTTCATGCACAACAGCACTCACCAGTCTATATTCATGCTTAATCACCAGTTGTGAGGGTAAAATGAACAGCATTCACCCACAATTACACAAGAAGAATGATTTTTTTTTTTTTGCTTAAAATTTAATTATAATTAACATTTATACTGGACAATTATACTGGAACTTACATGATATTAGTCCCCCTTACCTCTCCCATGCGTCCTTAAATCTTCTTTACAAGTCACCACACCAAATCACATAAATACCACTCTAAAAATCATCATACAAAAACATTCTGTTGATAGTATACTAGCTCTTTATTTTTCCATCTATTGAAAAATCATCAAAATTCCTCCCTCAATAAACCACACTCTAGTTAATAAAGGACAAACTTGCATTGAGTAGGAAGGTAACTCTCAACTGACATAATTTAGAAGCTTTAGAGATGAACAGAACAGAAACCCATTAAAAGCCTAATAAACCAGGTCTGAAAAAGTGAAGACAGATACTGTAAGGCAATATAGTAAACAAAGCAAAATGCAAACAAAATGGTCCATTTGGGAAGCATGCAGTGAAAGGCAAAGACTAGACATCTGCTACACTTTGCACAGAAAGATGTGTCAGGTTTCCTAACTGTTTATCTTGGAGCCAATAAAATTGTTTGCCAAGGCTCTGAGAAACAAACAAGGCTTAACACATTTCTTAAGAGGATACCTGTCTGATAGTTCCAAATGTTTGCAAGGCCATGCACAGGAGGAGTGGTATTATTCTGAATTCTGCCTTTACAGTGTACAAGAAAATACTAAAGGAAACTGAGACAACTTCAGGCAGTCTAAGAAATCTAAGCCATAAAAGTAATGTATAAAGTATGATTTTTAAAATTAAAAGGACTGTTAAAACAAAAAGATTTTGTCTATTACACTAATTGGCACCTATCTTACTTAGAAGCAGTTAAAAAATCTTCCACAATGGAAATCTTGATATGACACTGAAGGCCAACTGTAAGCGGTTAAAATAGATTTCTCTTTTTTTTTTTCCTATTTCCAAATAACATGCTTTTAAAAATCCACTTTAATAAAAAAGAATAAAAAAACCAACAAGATGTGATCATTGATACTAAGAAAGCTTAGTATGAAACTAAGTATGTCCTAGCCCTGAATTTTAGCCCAAGAGTACTGGTGTTGGTTTTTTTTTTCCATGTGTGCACTTATAGGTCACACTACTTGTGAAAAGCTTGGAGGCGCATTCTGCTTGGATCTTTTGGATGTCTCAGGGCCATTCCACATCGCAGCAGCAGCTCAATATAAGGTGGCCAAAATGACTCACTGATTGTTATGTAAGGTTCATGTGGTGTGGTCATTAATTTGTTTATCAGCATCTGGAAGACCAAAAGGATAAGATTTAGGAAATTAACAAAACAGCTAGATTTTTATCTCCTTTAACCAAATTTATATAAATTACTGTGATGTAGGCAATATAAGAAATAAAGGACTACAGAAGTAATATAAGACCTCATCAAAGCAGAAGTAAACAAAGGACTTCCAACTAACTTCATAATATATTTTGTGATATAAAAATTAGAACTAGAATCCTCTTTTTTTCTTGAATAAATGTAGATTTATTATATTTATTATAAATGGTGTATCTAAATACAGAATTAGTTAATAGGAGTTAAAAACTACATCAGTTTTGTAACTCTTTTTTAGTTCACAGATATCATCATCATGCCCTCATGATATTGCTCATGGGGAGTACTGCACACATTACAGATTAAATAATCTTAGTCATCCCATGGTGCTCTTTCTATTTGACCTAGATATTTAATCTTTCTACTCAGATCTTTTAAATGTTATACTGTCCCAATTTCAGTAAGTACAAAATAATGCTTGCCCCTTAATGCTAAAGACAAATTCAAAATCCTTACTACCATATTTTATATTTTTTTCCACCCACTGCTACTAATAAAAGACTCAAACAACAACAAGAATTTTTCCATTTAATATCTTCTGTACTTCCAATTCTAAGAATTTACTCCAAATGCATTATTCTAGACAAATTTTACTTAGTTTGTTCTGACATCTGATATTCTGAAATAGCCTTTATGGCTGCAACTTTATCTGTATCTCAGAAAACATTTTTCAAATTTAACAGGGACTTGAAGCTAGAACAATAGGACTCAAGAAAGAAAAACCTTCCAGAATACAAAGATAAGGTAGGATGTTGGAATTCAAAATTAGTCTGAATTTTTCAAATAGTGTGTTCTTCCTAACAGAAGTCAGATATTACTTGAGTATGTTCACATTTTCAGGAGATTAACAATATCAGAAAAATATGAAGGGCAATTTTAAAGCATTAGAAGAACTTTAAATTTCTTGTTCTGTAAGGGCTGTGGCTACTCTAAATTCTCATCTGTTTTCAAGATCTGCCTAATTTGGTATTAACAGGTGTGCTGAGAAGCTTACGTTGGAAGCTTGTAAAAATATTTGGTGATGTAAGTCCAAAGCCTGGGATTTAAACTATAGTACAATGTCATAGTGATTAGATAACAGCATCTTAATACCAGAAAGTTTTTTTACATCACATTTTTCCTCAAGAAAAAAAATTTCCCTAGAGACATTTTACATATAGAAGTCTAGAACTATCTGAGGAGGGGAAACAGAAAATTTCACTTCAAATGCTACATTTAAGACAAGAAGGAAAATTATGCTTTGTAATTCACATTCATTAATTTCACTGTAATTAAAAATTCACACTAAGCAATGCTTGTATACTTATAAAATCAATCAGAAATGCATGAATCAAATTAATTGATTTCCTTGTATGAGTAAATAATCCAGTTAATGCATAAGACTATTGTTCCTTTTGAAGCTACATAGTAATTAGTCCTTCTGTTAATGTATATTTCAGAAACATTTTTCTTGAAACAGTATAAAATAGAGCAGGAAGTGAGCCAATTTTTTTTGTTAGACGTAGTGTTTGTCTCTCCTAACAAGAGCCACTAAGCCACATAAAACTTCTTTGAACTAAACACTGTAAAATCAAGAAATAATAGACAGCCGTTCTCCAGCCTAAATGAACATTATTACCATATCTCTTTTAAAAATTTGGCTTCATTTGATAGGAATTAAAACAGAAAACTGACCTAGATTCATAGAATGGTTTGGGTTGGAACGTACTTTAAAGATCATCTCATTCCAAGCCCCTTGCCATAGGCAGGGACACCTTCCACTAGACCAGATTGCTCGAAGCCCCATCCAACCTGGCCTTGAACATCTCCAGGGATGGGGCATCCACAGCTTCTCTGGGCAACCACTGTTCCAGTGCATCACCACCCTCACAGTAAAGAATTTCTTCTTTACAGCTAATCTAAATATCTATTCTTTTAATTTAAAACTCTTTCCCCCTGCAAAAAAATTGCTCTCCATCTTTTTATAAACCACTTTTAGTACCAGAAGGCTGCAATGAAGGCTCCCTGCAGCCTTCTTGTAGACACAACATTCTTAATGATTCTAGATTAACTGTCTTAACTAAATTCCACATACTGTTATTTTTATTAAATACTTTATGATTACCATCATTATCATTACATCTGAATATTTAAAAATTCCTCAATCTTTACATAGTAAAAGCATCTTACCTCTAAAATGTCTTGCAATGTTATCAGTTTTACAACTTTCTCTGAAGATGGGTTCTGGAAAGATAACCATCCCCCAGCCAAATTAACAAAACCCCAAACTAGTCAGGAAAAATGTTAATTGACAAAGTAAAATAATTACGCAATTATTTGATGGCATAGTACACAACGGATGAAAACTTTTACATAGATTTAGTCCCAACAGAAATACAAGGTAACATTTAAATCTATCAGTTCAAAATCCTACACTTCAAATGTAATACTTTTTGAATTATCAAGAGGGATTAATCTAAAGTGATCATAATTTTTTTACCTGTGTTTACATTTAAATAAAACCAAGTACATCACACTTGTAATGTAGTACAGAACCTCCTATGAACAAGATTTGTTAGAGGAAAAAATGTTTTCCATGAGCTTTAAATCAATGTCTATAATACAAATTTGACACAACTCAAAACTTCATTTCATAGTGCCTTAGTATTTTTTCATGATTTGACAGTGAATACTTACTTGCTTTGAATTCAACTAAAAAATTTATCTTATCAAGATTAAGAAATAGAATAATTAAACACTTTAGTGGAAAAAAAGGCAATGATAAAGTATCACTAGAAGACTACTTGTTTTCCTTTGCAGCAAGCAAATCAAGCCATTTGTCTACAGAGATTCCTTTGGCAGCAATGCCAGTGGATCTATTTGTACTGTTGCACAGTAAACTTGATTCTTTAATTTTCCAGTTTTACATTTTCCCCATGCACTTCAGCTTCAACAAAATAAAGGAGATAATATTCCACTGGCTTTCTCAGTATTGCTGTTGAATAAATCAATTTAAGTCTAAGATACTAACAGGTGTGCAGCACTTTATGCAAACTCCACTTCTGGAAAAGAGGAAGAACACAAGCAAGAAAGAAGAATATGTGAAAGGCAAATTCTGGATCCTTTTTTCCAGTCACAGTTTGTAATAGTCTGTAGAGACTCAGAAGTTTCAGTTCCCAAGGAGAGCCAGCTCCATGGAAACTCTGCAAATCCTGGAGCTATGGCCCAACATCTATCTATGTGCCTTTATCTTGATACTCAGCTGAGAAAGTAGAATCTGCATTACCTATCTGCAAAAAGTTCCTTAGAGCAAACATGAAGGTACTTCACAAGCTCTGCTGATATAGTTCCCTGGTCAAAATTACTACTAATACAATAAGTACCACTAATCACTTAAGTCATTAAGCAAGATGCTCAGCATTTCATTATTTAGCCTGAAAGGCATCTTCTTCACCCTTCCAATCAGACAAATTTGCATAAAAAATATTCCTCCGCCTCTGATTTTTCATATTATTATCCTGGAAAAGGAAGTTGATTTTTTCCTGGATTTAAAATGTAAGATAATTGTTACTACAGTCACTATCTATACTAAAGATGTTAAGCCATGGCAATGGAAGCCAACCTGAGCTGTTGTGATCCAGTCTTCATTCCCACTTCCAATCCCACATGCATGTTACCAGGTGAAAGGAGGGTGGTGGAACCAGACCACCGAGGCTTGGAGCAGTTTAAACTATATGGAAGCCACGTCCTGCAGACATCAACCCTGCACATTTGCCCTCGCACAGAACCACTGTGAACACAAGAGCTTTCACGAAGTGAAGCAAAATTACTGATGTGCATGTTTAAGAGCTTGGTGCTGGCTAGACTGTTGAGCTAAGCTGATAGTAGAATTGAATAATGTGTTCTCCTCAATCAACGTAGCAGCAAATTTCAATGCCAGTGATTACAATTTGTATTTCTGACGCTCAGTAAATGTAGGCAAAAATGGCTGGCTGTCCTGCCTTCACAGTCAATTACTTGGATGCAGATTAGTAGGTATCTGTAGTTATGCCAAATGATCCAAGTGAGTCAAAAGATACAGAAAATCTATGAATTCACAAAGACTGAAAAGATAGAAAAACATTTGTCAGAAAACAGACTGTGTTTAAGAGTTCAGGAAATGCAAAAATAAAATTTAAGCTAAGGAAAGATAAAACCTTGTGTTGAAATTAATCAAAGTGGCTTTTTGTTTAAGAAAATGATTGGTGACAGCCATCATAATAGACCATTTGTACTCCACAAATTTAGTAGCCTTCTACAACAGAATTACAGTATTTGTGGAAGAGGAAGAACAAATTATGTCATCTACCTGGACTTGTCCAAAGCATTTGACACTGTCCCACATGAGATTGTTTCTAAAATGGAGAGACTGAGAGCAAAATCTGTCATATCTACTAACAGCAGGAAAGGAAGGCACTGGTATGTAGAAAAACTAAGATTCAAGAAAATAAGATACTTGAATAATACTTTGAACATTGAGTCTTGACATTTCCACTTGATATTTTTATGTGCAAAATATGTGCTTCTGTGCAAAACAAAAGATTTTTTTTTTTTTTTACTTAAAAGATCAGGATTCATTAGCTGCAAATTACAGACAGAAAAAGACAGGGGTGTAATTTGTTGCTTTGATGATGGGTGTGAACAAGTAGTTTTATTTATAAAAATGTTTCTTAGCAGGTTGCAAAACAGATTAATCCAAATGAAAACAGACATAGATAATGGGTATTACTAGGATAAGCTAGGGAATTGAAAAATACTATCTTACAGGAGAACATAAAGACATTGCTAGTTCAATTAGCAAAAAAAAAAAAAGAGAGGACGTGAGATTGCTACCATAAATGTATCAGGAGGAATGAACACAAGAAAGAATCAGCTATTCTAAGGAAAATTCTGGTGTAAGAACCTGTATTAGACATGGATAAATTTAGACTGGAAGCTATGAGACAGCTTCTAACCACAGTACTGAGGTACTAAAAGGAAAAAACATAGGAGAAACAGTAGTAAAAAAAAAATTATTTGTTTTAAAATGGAGCTCAGTAACAGCACTATAATATAAATTATATTATCTGGTTACCTGAAATAACAGGGAACTGGATTAAAGAAATAATTTCTACTTCTGTAATGTTAAGTGTGCCTGAAAGAAAAATCAAAACCTGCCTTTTTTCATGGCTTTTTTTGTATCTATGAAATAGTAATGGTAATCATTTTATTTTTACTGCACACTTTATTAAGCAAAATGCTCCCTGGCTGCCTATTTTCCCTGAAGTTCTAAGATAATTTTTGACCCAGTTTGCCTGAACAAAATCTGATGGTTAGCATTCCAAACTACTCTGTAATTATCAACGCTTTTCCTTATTGTTCCAAAAACATTGTTAGTCAACTAAAATTTGCTTTGCCAAGGAAAATAGGAATCTACTTGCCCAGTCAAGTTAAAAAAAAAAAAAAAAAAAGTCAATTTGGACTGAAACCCACATTATTTCCGAATTTGGCACAGCTTGCAGTTCAGTGAGAAATACAATATATTGCTATGCATCTCATTGGGTAAAGGATATATGCATTAGGAAAATAAAATATCTAGCTGGAAACAGCCTTAAATAACGTAAAACAACCTGGAAAATATAAATTAAACCTAGATGATCAGCTGTAAAAAAATATGCTTATTTCAAAATATAACTGCATGTTCAATGGTAGTGACTTAAAACAGATATTGCCTCTAATTAAATATAAATTGAACATTTCAAATTTAGTAGATAAAGTCTTACCTTGTTTTCAATATTTTCATCTTTCTCTGGAAGGGGAAAGTGTTCACTCAGGAATTCACCCAAAGCACTCAAGAGTTTTTTCTTATAGGTCTTTAATTTCCGTATTTTACTTTTCAGTTCGTTCAACTCTCTCACTTTCAAACTAACAGTAAAAACATAGCAATAGAACAAGGAATCAAATCAAGTAACTAAAAAGTTCTTCATAAGTAAAAGAAACCTCATTATCTATTGTTAGAAATTCAACATCTTTAATCACAGGATACAGTAGCATTATCTTCATGTTTCAAATATGGATTATTAAGCAATTATTTGATCTATTAACAAAACATGGAATACATTTTAAGAGTTTGCTTGCTTATTTGCTCCTCTTCATATTTAAATTCTTCAATTTATAACTCAAGAATGTAGAAATACCTTTTTGTTGAAGGTTGTTCAACTTGGATATTTGCCTCTTCTTCCATTTTATTAAGAGTATCTAGCATCTGTTTCTGTTCCTCATACCACTGCTGTTCTCTTTGAAACATGAAAAGTAGGAAATGGTACAACAGATAAATAGTTTCCCTGGGCAGTCAAAAGAAAAAAGCTTACAGCATTCCAAAGTCCAAATTATTGTATTACCTTTTTAGATCTTCTTCCAGATGTTTATTCTTTGACCGAACTGCTGACAGGATCCTTTCAAGATCATTTTTTACCTTCTGCAACTATGAAAGAATAAAAAGAAATTAAACTACTGTTTGTAGGTAGCCCAGGCTGTAATATTTGTTCTATATAAGACTACATCTGTAAATCTGATAAAGAAGGACAAAAGCATCTGCAATTTCTTTATAAATATCAAAATCCTGTTTAAAATGCAGGAGGTATTAAAAATGTCACCACAACCAATTGCTCATTAGTGTCTTCTTGAAGCTCACAGAGTATAACAAAATACTTCATTTTACCTGAAGCAGATTGTGGAGCACACATAAACTGCTCAGCTGACAAACAACTGAGAAGAAAATGTCTACAGCACCAGGACTCAATTGTCTAAATTCTTGCAGCTGCTGGCAAGAATGAATCCATGCTACTTGCACCACATAAAATGTACAGAAAATGAAGATGCATCAGAGACAGACTAACCACATCCATAAATTAAATGATCCTCAATGCAACGGACATATCTGGGACAGGAAAGATGGAGAAATAAAACTACTGCAGTCAGAAGCTATCAGCATTGCTGAATCTAGGCAATTCTCAATGGGTCTTTCATTATAGAATCACAGAACGGGTAAGGTTGTGTTGAGGAATACATTGAGTGCAGGTAACTCAGGGTGCAGCTGCAGCGAGAGCTGCAGGTTGAGCTATGAGTTGAGCTCTGGCAAGAGCCCCAAGCAAGAGGCCATGAAGTGCCAACCCCTTCTGCCAGGTGAGGGGACATTAAGACATGGGAAGAGCTGATGATGCCTGGACTTTCCTTTGTTTATACTGTGAGAGTATAAAAGCCTTTTGGTTTTGAGGGTATAAAATTCCTTTGTTCTGGGTTCCTCCTCAGAGGCACTCACCTCAAGCTGTTTTTCTATTATTATGTCATGATTAAATTCTTTTAAGGATTGTGATGTGTGAGCCTAAGGGAAGAAGGAAACCTAGGGTTGAGCTGGTAAGGAAACTAGTGTGTGAGTATGGGATGTGTAGCTGCAAATGGGCTAAGTGAATGACACTGTGGCTCCTGGATTGTTGGATAGGGAAGTTTCCTTAACCATTGTGAGGGACCAGAGTGGTCCAACCTCCCTATTCAGGCAGGGGTTATCCAAGAGTACATGGCACAGGTTGCATCCAGACAGTTTTTGAGAAACTCCAGTAAGGGAGACTCCACAACCTCTCTGGGCAATCTGTTCCAGTGCACAGTACAGAATCTCTTCCTTGTGTTCTTGTGCATCTCACTGTGCCTTGTCCTATTGCTTGGCATCACCAAGAGCCTGGCTCCATTCTCTTCAGATACTTGTATAAATTGATGAGGTCCCTTGTTAGAACACTATGGTCTTCTACAAAATAAAGTTTTCTATATAAGCCTATGATTTGGATGTATTTTTTCTGCTTCCATACAAAATAAAAACACTTGAGAATTTAGCTCAAAGAAATACAAATTCTGAAAATATGCTACAGAAGCAAATATGCTCCATATATACTTCATCCGAAAAAAACTGGTATCCTCAAATATCAGACCAACATGCTATAGCCATACAGGCAAATCAAAGTGTGTAACCTAACAGCTTTTTGATAGTGACTTTTAACAGCAGTGAGGTTTGCTGTCGTGAGGCATACTAGAAGGCATTAGAAACAAGAATATCCTCACATCATGTAGCATTCCTATGTCGCATCAAAACAGTGTAATGTTACCTACAAGACACTCTTGATTTGCTCTTTCTTCCAATGAAAGGAAGAAAGACTTTCCAATGGAGGCAACTCAACAAACCATTTGCAAATTATTGCCACAGAACTCAATGTCTAAGATAAATGACTCTTCCGTGTAACACATAATATTACATAATTTTCTATCAAGTATGAAATGCAATGTATTACAAGGTTTTGCTTAAAAACACATACAAATATCTCAAAAGGCAGGCATCAGAGGATAGGGCCTTTTCAGTGGTGCCAAGTGACAGGACAAGGGGCAACAGGCACAAACTCAAACACAGGAAATTCCATCTGAAAATTAGGAAAAACTGCTTTACTGGAGGGTGACTCAGCACTGGAACAGGCTGCCCAGAGAGGCTGTGGAGTGTCCTTCTTTGAAGATATTCAAAAGCCACCTCAAAACAATCCTGTGAGGCACTTAGGGGCAGGGTTTAGTGGTGGATTTGGATGGTTGGACTTGATCATCCTAGTGGACTTTTCGAACCTAAACTATTCTGTGATTCTATCTCCAGAGGTCCCTTCTAACTCCAGACATTCCGCGACAAATTCCACTTAGCAATTAAAATTCAGCCACAGATCATCCTGAAAACGCAATTTGGAGTGGATTTTCTCACCCAAGCACTTATGCAATGTTAAATGAAACTAATATTCAAAAGTACAGTGAGTAGGCTTCAGCCCTAGAAATGGGCCTTGTTGCATGTTAAAGATGATGGCTAAATCTTTGCAAGGCAGTCACCAGTCTCCCTGGCACAAGGTATCTGTCTCCAGTCTCCCAGCACAATGGACTCTGATCCCAAGTGAGGCCTCGGAGCATTAATGTAGCAGGGATGTTGATTATCACATCATTTTTATTGCATGCAGATAAGTTTGTTGAGCTACTGTGATTAGATGGTGTGTCCAGAGGCAAAATACTGTTTATTGTGTGTTACTCACTGACTTGTGCAATAAGTCAGTTTAAAACCTCACTCATTAGGAAATTTTACTAGTTATACTACAGTGGAAAAAAAAAAAGCATTGAAACAACATAAATGGCTGAAGGAAAATACACAGCATTTTAACAGAAGTCTGCCCTAGAACCAGTCACAGGAAAACACAGCAATTTAATAGATTGCTTTTCTTTTTTACCCAACAAAATTTTATTATCTCTTACAAACAAAAAGACTTACCTCTTCTTTTCCTAATTCTAACAGTGCATCTGGATTGGTAGAAATTACTGAAAGATAAAATGAATTGGTTATTTTTTGCACTGGGTGATAAAGATTTATCGATACTGAAAAGCACCCTGGCTAGGGAAAAATTTGTCTACCTTCTGAAAAACAGCTTGTCTCTCAGTAACAGTTTAACCACATGCTGTGGTGTCCTGCTGAGCTAACCTACTATCACTATTCAGCAAGTTAAATTAGACTGAAAAAAGTGCAGTGTTAATGCTTGTGTGTCATTTTTTATAGCTGAACTAGCTCCAAGTACACTGGTGTAGGTGCATAATGAATGAACACCACATTTCTATACGCTTCAAGACAACTGAGCCTGATCTTTTCAGCAGAAGGCATTCAATCAACATTACCAATGTTGATTGAATTTGGCAATCAAATTCTTCCAGTCCTCCAATTCCTTGTTAAACAGCCACCCAAATGCTTGATCAAGACTATAGAACCTAGTTTAATAACTTCAGAAGCATGTGACCATCCTTACTGTTCAAAAGAACAGCTATATTTAGGGAGACGAATGGCCTAGAAAGGCCAATATTCTAACTCAAAACACTGTGCAACAATACCTAAGTGAAAGCAAAGTACAATCCAAGAAGATGAAAATGTTTCCCCAGAATGCTTCTACAAAATGCAGTGATTTATGACTCATGCATTTTCAGAATAAAAACTGAATTCTTGTCTTTTACAGCATTCAACAGACTCCAGTCAATTCTCAGATCCATGTCAACTTGCAGCTTCTGCATAAACATAGGACTTTTTGGAACTATTTCAGTACATTAACAGGAGAAATGAAAACTATTCTAGCAGATTAAATCTTTGTAAAACATATTTTTTTTGTGCAAGTCTGGGCTTGAAATCTTAAAAATATTTATTTACTTTATCTTACAAATAATTATTTAAATAAAAACTGCCTTTAGCAAAAAGGAAACCCTTAATCCTCTCAGGACAGCATTAAACATCTTCTAAATACACATAGTTGATTTACTAAATTCAGAAAAGTTCTTCCTTTGGTAATGTTATAGTACTTACCTAAAAAAATTTAAGAAGCTTTAGATTAGTAGTTTTAAAAGCACTGTTTGTTCTGAGATGAAAATTAGAAAAACTGCTGAGTTAAAAATTAAATGCTTCAATAAAATTCCATTTACTTGGAGAATTATTGTTTCTAAATCTTAACACAAAATTTGAGTACTGTGCTCCCAATTAAGCTTAAGAGCTGTGGGAAATCATGGTCTGTGCTTTATTAGAGTAAGATTTCTTTATTTACACGAATGTCCTACCAACACATGATAAAATTAATTGGTGCACTTTTATTTGCATTCACTGGCATATTTGAAAAAAACCCATACAATTCTTCCCCCTGACACTTCCTGCTGACATGATCTTTATAAGCCCTCCCTTGCCAATTATTATCAACTTTTTGCAATGGCCTCATAACACTCCTTTATTTCTAGATACCTAATCCTGAGTTCGTGCTTGCCATTCAGTGTTCATATTGTGTGATTATCAGAATAAGAGGCCCTGTCTTCCTGGGAAAGAAATCACTAACGATAATTTAGTGAAAAAACAATGCAGATCTAAAACACTGGGAAAACACACTCATGCCAGCTGCTGCTGTAAATTCACTGGTTGCTCAATCCACTATCAATAAAATCTTTTTCAGTTGTAAAATCTCAACACTTGCAAAAATCAAATGTCAGACAGAATTGTCTAGTGATACAAAGTACAATTACTAAGAAAAATACTACCAGATGTTAGGAATATAAAAGCAACTACTATGCACATGTTTATACAGAAACTCATATTAAAATAAAACAAAAAGGTATTTGGCAGAATACTGCTATTTTGCAAAGTAAAACAGAAATTATGCGGAGACCACAACTGTTTGAAATGGTTTAAAATATGGTTGCTTTCACTTCCTGATTTTGCAAAGGTACAAGTTAAATTTTATTTCTATAAGCCAAATGCTTTCTAAAAAGTTTTAATTCAGCTCATTTAGCAGATCTAGAACTACATAAATAATATCAGGAATTGAGAAAGAAAAGGAGACTGAAGTAAAAGCTCTGCAAAAATAAAATTTGCACTGTGAACTCAAGCCTGTTTGCCAATATTGTGCTCAAAAAAATGTAGAACTGCCAAGTTGTAACCTCTGAAAATAAGTTTTAAGATTGAAATGCTGACAGGTCCTCATTTACAGGAAATGAACTGGCCATTCAAAAGCAAAAAACAAAGTAACAAAACAGCCTGACATTCATGCTCTATTAGTAAATTGTATTAAATCAATATTTCTGCTATTTGTGTTTAGATAAAATCAGAAAATGTTTTCAATTAAGTAATTCCTCCTTTAAAACAAATAGTAGGTAGAAAGAAGCCAAGACAGAGAAGTAAGCAAAGTGGACTCCTCATTTTCATACAAGCACCATAACTCTTCAAATTCTTAGCAGCAACTTTTTCTTCCACTGGAAAGAGAGCCAAGAAAGGCAGAGATTTTGCTGTAAAGTATTAATTATAAATAATTTATTTCTCTATTACAAAAATAAGATTTCTACTAAGAAATATTATCATCTGGGAAGAACTAAAAATGGTTGAACAAAGCAAGTCAGCAAGCCAAAAAAATAGGCCAAGGATATTTTTAAGCCAATAGCTTGAAGTGTAATATACATATTTTAGTACGGAAATCTAACAGCCTCAGGTATTTTACCCAGATAAAAACTAAGTTCTTTCATTAATCTGCTTTAAGCCAGAGGCTCATTCATGAACAGCAGCCAGGAACCAGTATGTTCCAAATTCATTCAATGACATGCCTTTGGTCTACATACCTCAGAAGCACTGGAGGCTGACAGTTCTTGGAGTGAGGCTTACAACACTGAACTATGAATTTATTCTAATAGAGCAACAGTATCTATTTATAAGAAAGAAAAAATATTTTTTCCCAGCTTCTCTTATTTAATGAGATACAGCAAATAGATAGACTTCAAAAAAAGTTGGAGAACTGCCTCTAATGCTGATCTGAAAAGGCATTTCCATTTGGCTAAATGACAAATCATTGGAAATCACCAAGTGCTGTCTAAAATACATTCCTATAATTTTGCAAATACTACAGAACCAAGCCGCTACTGGCATAAAAATATTCAAATGAGTCAATATATCAATTTAAATATTAACTAGAAGTTTTACTGGATTGACAGGTGCTAACAAGTTCTTGATAGGAGATATAACCAGGAGTATTACCAGAATATTAATGATAGTAGTGTGAACTGTTTTAGGAGTTTCTGTATGAGACATCTGAAAAAAAAAAAGATTACTCACACTTGGATCCTGAATGCTTTTATATCCAGTGTCTGGCCATATCAGCCACATCTCTTGCAAGAGAGTGAAATCTGTCAGTAGTAGTACTTATGTACAATGAGAATTTTAAAGACCTCAAGAATTTATACCTTTTGACTGATAATGCCTAACAAATATAGGAACTACCACAAGTCTCAGTGGTTTGTGCTTCTCAGGATCAGTAAGTGTTCTGGATGACTATGTTGTTTAAAAATTCTAGAGTCTATTACCACTTCATCTTGACTTGAAATCTCCAATCCCTGTTAATTCAAAATATGTATTTTACTACAGTGTAAAGGGCTTAGCACGGAAAGTTTATTTTGAAGTTTCAACTAGCACATCATAATACAATACACCTTCGTAAAATATTAATAAAAAATAATCAGAAGATGTACGGTTAATGTATCAGCTTCTTAAAAGACAAAATAAAGACAATATTATTTGCCAAAGTATTTCTGTTCTAAAAAGGAAATAAAAATAAAAGATGGAGAAAAAATAATCACACAGAACAGAATGTGAAGGAGGATAACCAGATAATGAACTTCTCTTATTTGCTTAGCAGATCCGCTAACAGTTGTTTTTCCATTTAACTGACTGATGAATGGTGGTACGAATCACGCATTTGTTTGTCCAGAATCACAGGATTAAGTTATAGTGGAATTAATTTTTAATTTCAAGTCAACTTAGAACTGAAGTGCAAAAAATAATGAAGAAATGAGACATACATGCTACTTTTTAAAGTAGCATTATATTTATTTTGATTTTTAAGTAGTTATGGAATGAAAATACAATCAGCAGACATTCAATATACTCACAGCCTAGATAAAAGAAACTTTGCCGACGTTTATATAAGCATTCTTTACAAGGAAACAGTTACTTACTTTCAGGATTTCTCACTTGCCATTGACGAGAATCTACAGTTAAAGCTTTCCATCGCAGCATTAACAAGGAAAGCTGTATAACAAGAAAAGAAGCATTTCTTTAAATGTATTGAGTTGCACTGGCATAAAATGAGGTAGAATGGAAGAGAAATTCAGTTTATTAAGTTGATACAGCAGAAGACAAGAGAGCATCTATTACAGTAGAACACTAGTTCCTTCAAAATTTCTTTACAGTTCCTTACAGTCACTCACAGGGATCAAGAAATATTTCTATTATTTGTTCAAAAGGGGGAAATGAGAAAGTCAGAGTTGGCAGTGTTGTGAAGGTCCTTCAGAGGAAGGCAAAGAAATGCAAAGAAATGTCCTTCATAGGCAAAGAAATGCTTTCTAATGTCATCTCTGAACCATTCCCATACTTAATATCACTGGGTATCAGGAAGAAGATACCAGCATCTCCCTCTCAAATTCCCTGAGGAAGCTGTAGAGAGGAATCAAGGCACACCCCAGTTCCTTCCCTACAAAGTAGAGAAGCCCAAAGCCCTCAGCAGTTCCTCACAGGACATGCCTTCCAGTCCCCTCATCAGCTTTGTTGCCCTCCTCTGAATGCACTCAAGGACTTCACAACCTTCTTGAATTGTGGGGTACAGAAGTGCACTGAGCACTCCAGGTGAGCCTGCACAGCCCTGACTACAGGGGATAATCCCCTCCCTTGTGGCTGGCAGTGCCACGCTCGAGGCTCCCGGGATGCCGTTTGCCCTCCAGGCTGCCAGGGCACATTGTGGCCTCACCCTGAGCTGCTGCCAGCCAGCATCCTCAGATCCCTTCCTGCAGGGCTGCCCAACAGCCACCCCTTTCCGGCTCTTTTTCTTGTTATTAAATGTCACACCACTGAGGATTGACCAATGTTCTAAGATAGCTTGATCCCTCTGCAAGGCCTCTGGTCCCTCCAGTGTCAACAGCACTGTCCAGTTTGTAGTCATCAGCCACCTTGCTCAAGGTGCATTCCAACCCTTCATCCAGATCACTGATAAACATGTGGAACAGAGCTGGCCCTAGAGCTGCACCCTGAGGAACACTGCTGGTGGCTGGTCACCAGCCAGATGCAGCCCCAGTCACTGCACCCCGCTGAGCTCTGCCCTTCAGCCAGGTCTTCACCCAGCACATTGTGAACCTGCTTGTCCCACAGCTGCACAGATGTCCAGAAGGATGCTGTGAGCATAACAACGATATTTAAAAGAAGAAATTACATATATGCTGATTAGGAAAGTCTAAAAAGGTATTGAAGTTACACCCCCTTCTCCTCCCATTTTGCTGCCTATGTAAATCATTTATTGTCTGTATTTTTCAAAGTTAGAGAAAAACCTTTATCTTATCTCGATGTCCAGATGAGGAGGGGAGTGATGAACAGCTAAGATGTCCAATAGGATCAAACCCACCACAGATGCACCTGAGGGAACTGGCAAGTGAAGTGGTAAAGCCACTATCCACCATATATGAAAAGTCATGGCAGTGTGGTGAAGATCCCACTGACTGGAAAAGGAGACACACAAACCATATTATTAAGAAAAGAAAAAGGGAGATCTGGAAACTACAGATTGGTCAGTCTCACCTCTGTGTCCAGCAAGACCATGAACCAGATCCTCCCTGAAATTCTGCTAAGGTATGTGGAAAATTAAGAGGCAACTGGCATTAAGCAAGATGACTTTAAGGGCAAATCATGCCTGACAAATGTGGGGCCTCCTTTAACAGAATTACAGCATTGTTGCATAGGGGAAGAACTACTGATGTCATCTATTTGGGAATTATGCAAAGCATTTGACACTGTTAAGAACAACATGCTTGTCACTAAACTGGAGAGACACAGATTTGGCAGACAGACCACTCAGTGGGTAAGGATCTGGCTGGATGGTCACACTCAGAAGTGCAGTCAACAGTTCAGCATCCAGGTGGAGATTAGTGATGAGGTGGCATTCCTTAGACCTTGTTTCTGAGATGGGCACTGTGTAACATCTTTGTAAGGGACATGGACAGTGGGATCAAGGGCACCCTCACCAAGTTCACTGACAGCACCAGGCTGTGTGGGGCAGTCAGTGCACTGGAGGGAAGGGATGGCATCCAGAGGGACCTGGACAGGCTGGAGAGCTGCGCTAGTATGAAACTTACAAAGTCCAACAAGTCCAAACACAAGGTCCTACACCTAGGTCAAGGGTACCCCCCGTATCAGTACAGGCTAACTGAGAGCAGCTCTGCCAAGAAAGACCATGGGATCCTGGTGGATGAAAAGCTGGACACATGCACTTGCAGTCCAAAAAGCCAACTGTAATCTCTGCATCAAATGCAGCAGGGCCAGCAGGTCAGGGGAGGGATTCTGTCCTCCACTCTGCTCTGGTGAGACCCCACTTTGAGTGCTGCCTCAAGCTTGGGGTCCCCAACATAAGAAGGATGTGAACTTGTCCAGGTAAGTCTGGAGGAGAACCACAGAGATGAGTGGCGGGCTGGAACACCTCTCCTATAAAGACAGGTGAGGGGAATGGCGGCTGCTCAGCCTGGAGATGGCTCCAGGGAAACCTAACAGGACCTTCCAGTACCTGAATGGGGCCTAAAATAAAGAAGTGGGACTTATTGTTTACAAGTGCATGTAGTGATAGGAAAAGGGGAAATGGCCTTTAAGATGAAAGAGGGCAGGTTTAGATTAGATATTAGAAAGAAATTCTTTATTGTATAAGCCCAGAGACACTGAAACAGTGACGCTGCAGATGCCCTATCCCTAAAAGGGCTCCAGGCCAGGTTGGATGGGGCTTCAAGCAACCTGATCTAGTGGAAGGCATCCCTGGTTCTATGCCTGGGCTACAACTAAATGATCTTTAAAGTCCTTTCTAACCCAGGTCATTCTATGATTTTACAGTCTTAACAGAAAATGAAGTATTTTTAAAAACCCACTGTCTTACCTTGGCATCTGATTCTAGCAGTGTCTCTGTTCCTAGAAGCATTAGCTTGCTCAGACACTTGGTAGAAAAGAAATAAAACACAAAGTTTGTTTATTCTTCTCTTTTGTATGAACAAAACACAATTTTTAGAAATTTAAACATAACTTTTTAAATACAGGAATAAAAGAATTTTAACTTGGATCCTTCCATCCTTATACCCTAAACCACAAGAGCAAATTAAGAGATGTTTTTAAATCATAGCACAGTGAATTACTCTTATTTAATTAACTTAATTAATCTTAATTAACTCTGAAGGAGAAAAGTAGCAGCTAAAGAAAGATGCATCCTGTGAATAAAAAGGCAAGTTATGAGGAAAAGTACACATGGGAAGGCACTGAACAGATGAAGAATATGAGAAACTGGAAAGAGAGTCATGGACAAGGCTGAACAGAGAAGCTGCTGAGAAGTTAACACACATTCTGCTACTCTTCTGGCTCTCCAAAGAGAGCAATCATATTATAATACATCTTTTTAGTTTTAAGTAATTTAGGGAGTATACTGTACAGTTCAGAAGTGGTCTGATTTTTGGGAGTATACTATATCAGCACTTATGACTGCAATGGGGTGTTCATGAAGTCTGAAATTCAGGCCACCACAAATGTCCAAGGCATAAACAGGAGACACCTGCTAAACTCTTTTTTCCTAACTGTCACCAATTTAACCTGCCCCATAACAATGCAGGATGTATTCTATAAAGCAGTAGAACTACTAAGCAGTACTTTGGAAACCCTGCTGTTAATGTCTGCTTACCAGAACATAGTATTGGATTTCTCCCACAAAAACTGTTTGTGAAGACACACAATCATTGGAACATTACACGTAACCATATAACCACAAAGCTAATTAAGTAACTATGTTTGCCAAAACATGAGTGCATCTAGGATACAAAATCCAAATAATAAAATATCTACTGTTTTCATCAACTTCCAAAAATAACACATCACTTCCTGTATTATTTTGGGCATGCTGTGAATGAAATACAAGATATCAAATATTTTCAATTAAATTCAAAATAGTAAACATTCAGATTTACCTTCTAATTTGAAAATTTCTAAGAAAGTTCAGGTCCTCCAATGTGGTGCCAAACAAAAATTCAGAAACTGAGACACAGAATTCCCTGCCACATGCAAACTTACCTGAATACTCAACAAGAAATAAAACCCTTTAGCAATTTTTAATCAACTTGTGTAAAATTAATGCATTGTGAGTTGTCTGTGCTTTCTTCTACTTTAAGTTTTGAAATACTTTTACTTCAGTTTCTGGTATTTTAATGTTTTGAACTGACAACTCAGAATCCAAACAAATATTATGTAAGTACAAAAAAAAAAAAATTGAGTGAGGCAATAAAGACTCTGAAAATATAATTTAGAACACAACCTTTCACAAGATTCTGAAGAATCTTAAAGGAAGAACAGTGTTCCCTAAGAACTGATACAAGTTTATCTTCTCTGGGAATCCTGTAAATAAAAATACCCTGCCCTAAACTGTTATTTGCTAGCATATTGTACCATGTATCAAAAGAGAACATCATTGTCCTCCTCTGCCTCTCTCTCCAAGACCAAAGGACCTGTGAAATGGGATCCCATCTTTTGTGAGGATAAAGAGAGAAGGGTCTCTGTATGCTGGTACTACCACAGCACAAGTAAATTGTTTGATTTTCCATAATTTTAACATATACTCCCACACTATCTAAACCATAACATCCCACACTAACTGAACTACAACATCAGTACATTGACACTACAAGGTATTCCTCACCCCTGACAGCACTTCTACATTTGACATTTCTGAAGATCTTCTTTCCTTTTTATTTGTTTGTTTGTGATATTTGGTTGGTTGGTTTGGTTTAATAGAAGTGGTGATATTGGAGGGGGTGGGGCCAGCATGTGTTGAATAAAATTATTCTGAAAAAGCTTATAATAAACCTAGTCTATAATTTATATTTGCATACCTCTTCCATCTGCTTCCAAATACTCTCACATTCGCCCAAGAGTTCTTCCTTGCCATCTACAGGACCAGCTGTGTTAGTGGTTTCTGATAAACATTCAGCCTATTAACAAGCAAATAGAACCGTTATCATTATCTGCAATAACTGAATAAATCATACCTGCCACTTCAGTTCAACTATGTAATAGAATAAACTCTCTTAATCCAAAGCTTTTACCTAACTCCTTTATAGTTGTAGAAAGCATCCAGCCATTAAGTAAAATCAGCTAACTCTATAACTAAGTAAAATTAGAATAACTAATAACTAATAACTAATAACTTACTTCTAAAATTGAATGACAAAGTCCTAAATTTTCATAACTGCTTTGATTATGTGCAATGGCTTCTTTACTCATATAGAAACAATAAGAGAATTGTGCATCTACAAGGCCAGAGTTTACCTCCATGAATCTGCAAAGCTATTAAACAGTTACTTCTGCTCCATCAATGAATGTGCTAATATGTTTCTCCTTCATTTGAATTCAGAATATTTTTGATTAACAAATCAAGCATCCTCAAGGTTACTAGAAAAATAACAAAAGAACCTGAAAGATACACAGACAACCAAGAAAAGAGGGCACTGGACAGCAAAAAGAAAAATCAACCCAAATTAAATTAAAAACTTTGAGAAACTGTTGGGTCAGAAACAAACACATACAAATTCCTAAATTTAATTCTAGCTTTCTCACTTAAGAGATACCTGAATGACACCAGCAATTAACAGGGGAAAAATAAGAATGGGCAAAATTTTTTTTCCAGGGAAAACAACCAACAGGCTAAATCCACCAGATGCAGGAAGCCTTTAAAAATAACTTAGTGTATCACTAAGCTCACCAAAAACATAGAGATTAAATAAAAACATTAAAAATAGGTAATAAAGAGGAATTGCACTCCTCTGCCTTCTTAATGAAGCACAAATTACTAACTCCATCTTTTGGTTTTTTTCAGAACAAAAACACAGCATCAGAGAAAATTATGTTGGAAAACAAATTTAAAAGGAGTGAAATATTCAACTAGAACTTCCAAAGTTTAAGTACCTCGTTGCAAAGTAGATGAGAAAAGAAAATCAGAACATCTCACTGAATCCTGGAATTACACTAGAGAACTCTTATGCAGCCAATCTACTAAGTCTTCCTGGGAAATCTGTTGCATCTAAAGTGGAACATTAGAAAATCTAGGTTACTGTGATCTTATAAGAACTAATGATTTTGCAAAGGAAAATCATTATCGTCTTGAGAGTCTTGGAATGTCTCCACAATATAAAAAAGGACCAGTCTCCATAATTTATTAAGACTTCTGAAATGCCTCCAGCAGACTGCCCAGAAAGAAGAAACTAAGAAAGAAACTAAGAAATCTTAAGTTTTCTCTCAGACAAAAAACTGCTAATGAGACAAAGAAAGAAGGTCTGGGGGGATAGTGGGGAAGGAGAAGAATTAAAGCATGGGGAGAAAAAGAACCCCATGCTTTGGAAATTTAAAAGGGGTCTTGGAGTGGGATAAAAACCTATGCTTCCCATGTCCCCTGCAGTACTACAGTTCATCACCATCAAAGCATTCCATGAATAAAACTCTGAAAGAGAAAGCCAGAAAACCTCCATCACACAAAAATGATTGAATGATTCTGTTGCTGACTTTAAATTTCCAGATCAATTTCATACAACATTTCAAAGTGTACGTATTATGAAATATGACAGGGCTCTCACAAGCTAACTGATTTGCAGTCCTTAATGCTGTGCTCTTAATTATCTTACACACTACACACACTGAAGTGACTAAAGTGTCACTTTCAGATTTTTTTTTTGGTAACTTGCAATTTTCCCTGTTTCAGTATGTGTAAATTACATTTCTATTTCTACAACATACATGAAAACTGAAGGTTTTTTTGGCATAATACTAATGTCTTCCCATTTCAACATGTTATTCCTTCTTACCTTGTTTTAGGACTACATAACTAGGTTAAAAATACACACACCAAGTGTAGGCTCTATGCTAGCCAAGGCTTTATGACAGGATCATAGAATAGGTCAGGTTGGAGGGGATGACAGGAGGTCACCTTGACCAACCTCCCTGCTCAAGCAGGGTCATCCCGGAGCACACAGCACAGGATTGTGTCCAGATGGTGCTTGAGCATCTCCAGCGAGGGACACTCCACACCCTCTCTGGGCAATCTGTTCCTGCGCAGTCACCTGCACAGTAGAGAAGTTCCTCCTCATGTTCAGGTTGAACTTCTTGTGCATCACTATCTGCCCACTGCCTGTCGTCCTATTGCTCAGAGCCACCGAAAAGAGCCGGAATCCATTCTCTTGGCACTATCGCTTCACACACTCACACACATTAAGAGGGCGAAATGCGTCATGCAATCAAGCACAAAACGACCAATTGAGGGAAGGCGGTGAGGGGAAACTGACACCACGTTTGTGAAAGAGCCAATAAAACACCGTAGAAGCACAATAATCGGTAGGGTACAAATAACACTGCAAAAGCGGTGAGACAGAGAGCCCCCGCGCCCCCGATACGAACCCCAGCAGCACAACGGCAGGAGGACGTGAGGCGGGACATCTCCGCTCATAAGCGAGGGATGAACGTCGCCCCATTCCCAGCCAGGAAGCCAACGCCCTCCCTGCAAAGCAGCCCCGCGGGCCCGATGGCCGAGAGCACCTCCCGACCCAGCGATGTCGGAGCGCCGGGATCCCCCGAGCGCCGGGAACCGCCCGGGACTCTCCCGCCACCCCTCCTGCCCGTTACTACCATGGCTGCCGCTTCGCGCCTTTCCCGCCGCGGCGCTCACGTCATCTCAGAGCGCCCGGCGCGGCAAAGTGACGTCAGTACCATGGCGTCCCCCGAGCTCGAGCGCAAGCGAAAGCTACCGGTGGCGGGCGGCGGGGATCCGGCGGCATCGGACGAGGAGGATGAGGAGGAGCGTTGGGTCGGGCCGCTCCCGGGGGAGGCCGCGCAGGCGAAGAAGAGGAGAGGTAAGTGAAGGAGCGGAGCTCTGGCCGAACTGGGGCCGAGGCGGTGAGATCGCCTCTAGGCCCCGCCGGACGGTAGCGGCCACGGGGTGAGCCGCTGTCGGGAGCCCGTGTCCTGAAGCTGTCTCGTATGTAGAATGAGTACCTGGGGTTACCTACGCAACCTTTGGGTGCCGAATTACAGGGTGAGGGTGCCAGGTGCTGAGAAAGTTGTGGTCGTTCAGTTTTGAGAAGAGAAAGTTACGTGGAGGCCTCATAGCAATCTTCCAGTATTTAAGGTGCTCACAACAAAGCTGGGGACGGACTCTTAGACGGGAACTGTAGTGACGGGACCTGCACAAAGAGTAATTGGTTGAAAGAGGGGAAATTCAGGTTAGGTATAAGAAATTCTTTCTGTGAGGTACTGGCACAGGTTGCCCAGTGATTTATTGAGCGCTCTAACCCATGTAGTGTTCCAAGCCAGGTTGAATAAAGCTTTGAGCAACTTGGTCTAGTAGGAGGGGGCTTGCGACTAGATGGTATTAGATGCTGATTCTAGGGCCTTAGTATGCTGTGATTCCAAGACTTGCTTCCTGTAGAGAACATTTTCAGGCTAAGAGCCCTGCTGTGTAGTCTGAAGCTGTTGAGAAAAACGAGGTTCACATTTTTTTATATAAAATTTTAAAAGTTTAATAGACAGGAGATAAAAATAAGACAAAATGAACAAATACGGCCGGGTGTCTCACGATTGCGCCAAGAGCACCCCTTAGTAAGAAAGGATTGTCTCTTAAGTATACAAATCTCTTGCATTTGTTCACAAATGCTCATGTATTATTCAAACATTTCTTTTTAGTTTTAGATGTTCTTTTGTTTAGCTTCCCCCCTTCCCCAATAGATCAATCTCGGCTCCATTGAGTTTCACGCTCCCCAGTAACAGAGGTTCAGTAAATTCATTGTTTGGAGCTCAGGTCACTGCTGTCTTCATCTGGATAAGATAATCTAAGAATGCAGTGGGCGGTTTCTGACTATCTTTTCAGTCTCTGGGTTATAAGAACAAAAGTAGTTTTTATTTTAACACAATGCTACAGCTTAACACATGATATATACGTATTATTGTGAGGTGCCCCCCCCCCAGGGAGACAAAGATTTCGTTTCAGATAAGCATAGTTAAAGTGAGAGGTGTGGCTGTAAGCCCGGCTAGTGTGAATTCTAAAACCTCTGCCTCAGGGTACGAGTTCTGTGAGCCCTGAAAGAGTTGCCCCACCCCAGACCCCTCATGGGGTGGCAGCCCAGGGAGTTCTGATTGGGTTTGAGCCCCTGCGGCTTCTCCCTTGCAGTGTTCCTTAGTGGTCCCTGAGCTTGAACTCCACTCCATTTCTGTCCCTCAAAACCCATGTCCCTGCCTTTGTTCGGGGCTCTCTGTCTCTGGATTTTTTTGTTCCCATGCTGAATAAATGGTTTCCTGAGCCGAAGCCAGTCTGGTTGGTGTCCCATGCTGGTAACTGTAGCTTCTCTGGACTTGATCCTCTTAAAAACGAGATTCACTTAATAAATTATAAAAATAATTTAATATAAACAAAAGACAATTAGGAGACAAAAGAAATAAAGCAAAGGGTTAAAACGGCCGGGTGCCCTGGTGGGTTACCAGGAACACACCTGGTATCTCAGGAGTGTCCTTTTTATCCCCTCTTTGCTGTGAGAGGTTAATGCATATTCAAGCATGTCCCCTCCCTGGTTCCACCTTCTTGGATCATGTTATTTTCTGCTGGTCAGCATTATTTTGGAGTTTGGTTTCTTTTTTGCTGCAGATGGTCACTTGTTGATAAGGGTCCAGGCCCCTTATACGTCCTCAGAGAGCAGATGGGCTTCATATCTTTCCCCCTTGCCAACGTCCTGGTACCGGCTTTTTGGTAACAGTTTGCTCTCCATTTCCTGCTGCTGATAATAGCCTGCTTTCCACAGCTTGATCCTCCCATTGTCTTGCCTGTTGGAGTTATCTTGCCTTCTCCAGATGAGACATATCCTTACCATTCAGAATTCCTATCTAAGCCTGTAACTTGCTAAGAGAAAAGAATATAGTAAAAGCATATAATATATTTATCAGAATAATTGTGAAAAGCCAATATTTACAACATTAATTCACAACAATCCTGTGGCTGCAGAACGCAATATATTATACTACTATTTTTGAGTTTTATCAATAACAAAAATAAAAGAAACTATATTAATACAGCACAGTTTTCTAACATTATACATATAACATTCATTTTAATACTTGCTAAAAGCCAATAATATAATATGTATCTATAACACTGTGCTATTTATGGATGTGGAGTTAATCCATCTTTCAGACCACTAGCCTAAACTGGAGCAACAGGAAAAGCTTCTAGGCTGTATTTTGGCATGTGGTATTGATGTGTGTAGCAGCTCCCAGCTCTGTGGACATCACTTTAAGTTTTCTTTAAGTAAAGAAAACAAAGTTCAGCAGATGTAAACATGCAAGTTCAGTGAAAAATGCCATTTTACAGGTATTAACAAGGAGGATCTAAAAATCGGAAAAAAAACTCAAAATCACATTATTTTAGGTCATCCAGTTAAACAATGAAATAGGTGGATACCAGCACTTAGAATTTAGACTACTGGACCTGTGTGGGACCACAAATCTTATAAAAACAACATGTAGATACATGCGGTTGTTATAGATACATATCATATTGTTGGCTTTTCGCAAGTACTAAAATGAATGTTATGTGTATAAAAATGGGAAATTTTGTTGTATTAATATAGTTTTCTTTATTTCTGTTGTTGATGAAACTTAAAAATAGTAGTATAATACATATATGTTAGGCTGTAGCATAGTATTAAAATAAAAACTGCTGTTGTTTCTATAACCCAAAGACTGAGAAAAAAAAATAGCTAGAGAACTCCTGCATTTGTAAACTATCTTATCCAGATGAAGACAGCAGTGACCAGGACTCTGGGGAGAGGAATTTATTGCATTTCTGGTATCAGGGAATGTAAATCTCGATGGTGCCAAGAAGACTGATCTATTGGGAAGGGGGCAAGAGAAAACTAAACAGAAGAACATCAAAGATCCTAAGAAGAATGTATGAATATGTACGAGAATTTATGGATATGTAGTAGGGTTCTGTTTTTTAGGGGCAATCCTTTGTCAGGAAGGTGTGCTCTCTTGGCTGAATGCAGAGACACCTGGCCGTATCTGTATACTTTATTTTTTTCTCCTAATTGTCTTTTTTATTAAACTTTTAAATTGTATAAAAATTATGTGAACCTTGTTTTTCACATGATTTTAGAATGAAATGAGGTTCAGATGACCACCTGTTTTCTGACAGTAACCTAAAAACTTAGTTGACTTTGGTTTTTTGGTGACAATAAGACCGTTAGGGTAACAGTTGCTTTAAAAGGAAAGAGCAATGTGAGTTAAAGCAGCATTCGAGTGGCTTTAGTCTGTGGAAAATGTGTAAGTCTGAGTGCAAAGCCAGAGCTAAAACCATATAATTAAAACACATAATTAAGTACCTTTAATTATGTTTGCACAAAATTCTGCGTATTTTTGATTAAAGTATGAGTAAGCAATACAAGGATAAGTGAAAGAGAACAAAATAAAGATGAAACTTCATGGGAAAAAAATATCTGATTTTTCTTTTTATTCTGTGTAGTTCTTGAATTTGAACACGTTTATCTTGAAAATCTACCGTCGGCTTCAATGTATGAACGCAGTTACATGCACAGAGATGTTATTACACACGTAGCATGTACAAAGTAAGTATTTTTGCTTTCCATTCTGTTTCTTTGTCTAGGGTGTATTTATGTGTATGCTACCAAGTTTTCATTGTAGAAGTTATGTAATGGAAAGTTACCGTGTCCTGAGGTGGCTTTTAAAGGGTGGTGGGGTTTTTTTAAAAAACTAAATGTCTTAGCTAGAAGCAAGATATAAGTTATTTTTGTAGGCCAAAGGAGGGTCTTTAAATCCTTGTTAAAATATGCAGGAAATACAGTAATAAGATTGATTTACTCTCTCTGAAAAAAATACAGTTTATCAGAACTGCAGAAATCACACACACGCACACATAGTAACTATCATGAAACCAGACTTAAAATAGGAGGTATTTTTATATATTCAAAAAGGGTAGTGTTATGTATATTTCTTCAGTTTGAGCTATGACTTTTCATAGATTAATCCAGAAGGCACTAAAATACCTGTTTTATTTTTTCAGGAATTACAGTTCCTATTTAGATAGACTGTCACAGTAATTTCTTGAAATTCATTCTCTGCATGGTGTTAATTCTAGTGCAAATTACTGTCCAGAGGGAAGATGTATAATGTGTGCATCTGTTTTCTTGGTTTCATTTTCCTTTGTAATTGTAGGACAGATTTTATCATAACAGCCAGTCATGACGGACATGTAAAATTCTGGAAGAAAATAGAAGAAGGGATTGAGTTTGTTAAACACTTCCGAAGTCACTTGGGTAAGTACTTGCTCTTTCTTATCTAAAGGGCTTCACTTTTTCCTCTCCCTTGCTCTTTGTTGTTTGAAGAGAGAGTGCTAATAGAGAGATACTCTGGGGTTCCTTTAGTGCAGTCAGAGGTTAAATGATATCGACCAATAATCTTCCTATTATTCCTCTGTCATGGTTGCTCCCAAGCTCTAGTAGGGATAGGATGAAAATGAAACATGTGGGACTCTGCCTCCACAGATTCCCTACAACCTTTGCATTGCCTTGTGCCCTGCTTGTGGGG